TTGGCTCTGGGGGGTTTCGTGGGAGGGGGATGCTGGGGGCGTGTCCTGAACAGACTGGCCAGGTAGTTGCCAGTTCCCGAGGGTAGGAGCAGGTTGTGTGGTTCTCTTTGGTGTTTCTGGTCTCGGTCGTTTGGGCGGTCGCTTCGGGGTGGTGGGCTCCCGGAGGGAAGCAGTCGGGGATTCGCAGGCGCCCGGGGCTTCCCCCATACTGAAGTCGGGCATAGGATTGGCGATCGCAATGCTTCTGTAATCGGTGGCTAGCGTGGAATTCCAATATGCTGCTGATGATCGACGTGTAATGTATGCGCAGTGCGGACTTATGCATTATTTATCCATGTACATAGATAGCGGGTCACATGACCAACGCCAGTCATGTGACCGCCGCGAGAATACTGAAGTGGGGATTCGGGGAATCGGAGGTGTCAATGATCCGCAATTAGACGAGGTCTTAGATGGAGGAATCTATTAAAACGAAAGAGGACAATATATTCTCGCCGTATACGATAGTCAGGGTGCTTGAGTGCTTGTCTATTTAAACGTGCGTCCATGTTGGTCCATATCATCGGACCGGCGGGGCTTGCCTAATCGGTCCGACGTTATTCCTTATCAATTACTTCGCGGCGCTGGTGGTCGGACTTCAGGACACCAGCGATTAGTCTCTCCAATACTACGCATACAGTCCGCAGTGCGCTCATCACGCGGTCTCAATACCCTATCTCTAACAAAGATGATGCTCGAGCGAAACAACAGCCCATTTATGCCAAATAATCATTTAGTACTGTTTGGTTTCGCAAGGCCATGCTCACCCACTCATCACCCCAACGCTCACCCTCGACTGTAAAGGCATCACCCCAATCACCTACACTCAACTAGTGCTCACCTGGAAATCACCCTTGGAGCAATAACGAGCAAAGGGCAAAAGTGACGGTTTGCCGCACTTAACATGTGGCTTAAGTACGGCTGAGCGGACGGGAAGCCCTGTTTTCCACACCCTATGGTCGTATGTACTAGCAAGCTCTTTGCAAAGGAATATAACTGTATTTAAGTAAAATAATAGGGGGCTGCTTTTTTGGTCGCAACTAGGGGTGAGCCTCGGTGAATGCGCTAGAGAGGAATCACCCACACCACGGTGATACTACCTGGTTCCAGGACGACATTCACGATCTTTTGTATAGTTCTTATATTCATTAGTCATATACCCTGTCACACTTCAACAACAATTCAAGCGATTGAAAAAATGTATTCAGTGTGATGGCTTGACGTCGTATATGCGGCTCGACGCTGTATATAAGGCTAATAATGACAAACAACACCTACATTAGTAGAACCATGTCGTATAGTGGCTATAAAACTCCTTCATCCTCTGGATAGGTCTCCCTTTCTTTCTCTAGATTCGATATTCCCGTCGATGGCTACATTAGTTTAGATAGGAATTCAGCTCGTTAGTATCTGCTATTCCGAGCCCGTGGCAGTCAGATTATCTATTAATAGCGGATTTTAGCGCAACACCCCATGCCACAACTGGCCAATCCGTGGCTTCATCGCCACAACCTTTGTCTGAGGAGAACCCCATCACAGCCCAAAATCCGACCTAACATCAGCGTGAAAAACGCTATCACGACAGGATGACAGTGGATCAGAAAACCAGAAGCCAGTGGATGTGGCTGCATCCTGGGCTGCCCCGCCTGGCTGGCCTTCTTTCACTTGTTCTTCGGGTGCTACTGGTGACGCTCTGCTGATACCCGTCTGACAGGACCCCTCTGACTCTTCCTCTCACTTTCCTTCCTTTTTCGACTGTGACTTTGTTTGTAGAGAACTCAACTGAGAAAAAGAAAGCAAGAAGGAAAGCGCAAAATGGTTGTCGTTCTGGAGAGGATGAACATGGCAATCGCTGCCAGCATCGGTCTGGTGGCCGAGGCTATCCACCGCCACAAGACACCAGAGACTCCCACTGAGAGTACGTTAGTTAGCTATCTTCGTCGCAATCGGTATGGCACTGATAGAAAATGAATCTTCATCGAGAAAAGATGACGTTGCGCGTATTCCCCCGGAAGACGAACAGTGGGCGCTGGATGAGATCCAGGACGAGCTATGTCAGGGTCCCCCTTCGGACAGCGAGGACCAACCAAAGAAGATCCGTAATCCAGCCCATCTGGCAGATGATTTCCTCCAGCGATACCCGCCTCCTTCCCCGGGCAGCGCGTCCACAAGTCGACTCTCGTTGCCCGTCATCATCCCCCAGCGTCGGCCCGGAGTGCGCGTCCGGGGCTTCGTGAGAGCCTATGCGCCGGACCTCCAGGTTTGTGACATCAATCAGGATACCTTCATGGATTTCCTGGTGACATTTACGCGCGCCAGCCGGGCACCGCAGTGGATGATGGCCACCAATTTGACGGCCGCCGCAGCCTTTGCCTTGCCGGGACACGCCATCGGGTGCGGGGTGGGATTCGCCATCCAGGTTGTCAACGCCATTGCCATGGAGATGAGGGGCCGTGTGCAGTGCGTGATTAAGATGAGTATCTGGAGCAGAGAGAAGAATGTCAAGCTGACTATGCAACAGGGCCAACACCTTCCTGCAAAAGCTAAACCAGGGCTTCTTCCAGCCGCGCGGACTTTATTGCCTGGTGCTCTCCTTTGACAATACCTACGAGGAAGCTATGACCGACGAGTCGTTGGCCACGGCAATTTCCACGACCTCGGATGTGAAGACAGGCGTGCGCAAGTACACAGATAAGCTGCGCACCCACAGCGGCACTACTGGGCCTTCTGAGTTCCCAGAATCCGCTCCGCTGGTCTTCCCCGTCCTGGATTGGCTGGAGACCAACGCCAACACCGAGCAGGCGGAGAAACTGGGAAGGTATAAGAAGTTCCGCAAGTTTGTGGCGGATTACTACGACCGACGGGCGCAGGCAGAATATGTGAGCCTCGTCCCCTCCCCGGAGATGTGTAGAGGGAGAGAAGAATGGACTACTGACGATCTATCAAACTGGGTCCAGGCGGCGAGGAACCCGACGAGCCCCTTGGCAGCGCCCCCAAATCGCGCGTTTACGTCCAAGTTCGCCGACCCCAACGACAACACCAACAAATCCCCAATATCGCTGGCTACAGGGGGGTTGGTTCCCTACAACACCACTTGGCGGGGGGAGGCCCGGAACGGCGAGGGACGTGGAGCGCGGCGCAATATTGCTGATGTGGGTTCTTTACTTTCTCTTCCCCATTGCCATGATTAAATGGTACTAAATGAGGTGTTCTGTGATATAGAAAGTGTTGTATATGATCATCGTCAACATGCCCTCAGATGATGACATGAGCCGTGCAGAGAGTATCATGGCTACAGAGGTGGCCACTGAATCATCTGTCTAGCCCGGCGATGCTATGGTTGTAAAGGGATGAGTGACCCGCTGTGGGGGGAGTATTATCAGACTACTCTAGTCCCTAAGCTGTCGTCGACCCCGGGCATCACCGGTTTTCTCCTGCCCTGACTGGCTCGTCCCCGCGTGCCTGCAGAGAAAAAAAAAAAAAAAACCTGTAACGTAGGTGCATAGTGAACGACGCAGCATAGCAAATAACACACCTAACCACCACCATGATATTGTTCACAACCGCAATTTGCCACAACACAGATAATCAATTAAGTCTAGTCAGAATTATATCCATCAAATACTTCTTCATCTTCTTGACAGGTGCGTGCATTATGTAGAAGACCCAATTAAAACGAACGATTGATATACTCTATCTAATGTAGCCTAGAGTACACGGGTGCTTGAGTGCTTGATGAGTGCTTGATTATCTATATGTGGCGAACGCTGGCCATATATCGGAGGTTCGCTAGTCGGACTAACGTTACCCCTTTGATCCGACCTATCAGATCTCATCAATATCTTGTGTGGGTCACGTGCCTAGTCACGTGTATACATCACGGCTGGCACCGTGACAGTGATTCTGGATTTAATATACTCAGATTGCGAAGTGGCCTCGACTGGGTTTTGTGGTGTCCTAAAAATCCAAGGGTCCATAATTGCAGGTGGTCCAGTAGGTGTTGGTGTGTGTAACTTGACATCTAGCTTAGAAATCACAGTGTCTGGGTTATATGGGACTAATCCTGACCCTTGAAAACCTGACTGTATATTTCTTTCACTAAACAAGGCAAAGAATGCGGCCTTAAATGCCTCAAAGAACTCAACCTTAGTGATATGGGTGATATGCCCCTGGATCAAGTTCTCAATCTCCTTGCTATATGCACTGTTAGGGGTTTAACTCAAGTTGTCTTAACCTAAAGCTACCCTTTACTATACAAGAAGGAATCGTTGAAGAAGGAACAAATAGGGCAGAGGTGGGAGCAGTCTTTTATGGTCGTACGGGAATGAGATTCCAAATAGTGTTCTCGGAGGTCAGGAGTTGACCGAAAAGGTCACCGATAGTCTTCATGTAAGGGGATCGTACGAAGGTCGTCAATAGTCGTTTCGGTCCCCTTGCTGGCTGCGTTCTGTGCTGGTCTTAGCCAAACTGCCATCCTTTGGGTTCGTACGAGAACCCCATAACAACATGGCTGAGTAGCAGCATTTGCGATGTATCATTCATTGCTGCAGTGTTGAGCCGTCATACATGAGTCGTCAAATATGAGTCGTCACATTTTTTCCTCCAAAATTCCCGGGAAGAGAATGACGTGCGTGATGTACTCCAGAATGAAGACTACCGAGTCCATCATCAAACCGTCAAACGGCTTCGTGCAAGACTTCGATCAACATGTACACACAATCCAATTTCGCGACAGCTAGAAGATGAAGCTATAAAGGGCCTCCTTTCAGAGATGGAGAATGGCACTATATAATGATAAGGATGAGAATTGCTTCATCTCACATGTGTGCCTGTGGATATAACTTTCCTCGGTTTGTTTGGCTGGCCAGGGGTTGCTCGCTGGTAATCCAATCAACTTGGACTCAGAGGAGGAGGGTCGTAAAAATTAATCAACTTAAATGATGACGACGATTATGAGGAGTCTGATTATTGCAACCCTATTGTCCTGTAAATAGTTGGTATTTGGGCGTTTGGTGTTTTCTGTTGCTAATCATATGGGCCTTGTGTACGACATCTAAGCAAGACTTGTACCTCTACGTGATGCTTAGGACTTGTAGCCAAATGGTAAAGCCAAGTAAGTTTTAGTCATTAGTCCAGAATTTATTCTGCCAGCAGAAAGAAAACAAATCTGGGATTTTGCAAATTGACCACAATAGTCTGCTGTAGATGTATTGTTTATTGCTGCACTGATTGTGTATAAGTGTAGAAAACAATGAAGTGGTTTGTTTGATTTGTATTGGATCTTTTTGCATTTGCTTGCTCGTATTTCCAGCGCAGACTTTTGAACATATGCATGCCTTCATTATTGAAGTACAGAGTGCATACACCATACATGCATACATCATAATTGGATCTACACCCAGTTTTGTCAATATACTACACTCCTCAAGCTCTCAACAGGTCTCTGCCTCATAATCTCGTCTTCTGAGAACCAGTTCCCATGAAGTCCATACGGGACCCGCTGAGGCAGTACAATTCTAGTCACCACATCCCTCATATTCTTCGCATCAATAACCCACAACTCACTCTTCGCATCATCAACAGCATCGCCATCCTGATCAAGTTGCGATTCATCAAACACAAGTGTTACCAACCATCCATCATCTTCTTTTACTGCATCGCTTCGTGGAATAAATGAACATTCTTGTGCATACCATCCACCTGGCATTTGAAAAACTGTCACTGGATCGTTAAGATCGTCACTCTCCATAACCTCCTGTATAGATCTCCCATCCACACATCCTGATACCGGCCCTGGTAACTCTCTACCAGCACGATCCAACAATTCAGCCACGTCGATTTTAGTTAAACAGTCGATTTTAGGTCCTGCGCCGAGAGCTTCGTTAAACGAACCATTCCTGGTAGAACAACCATACACGAAACGGGCATTGCTCATCTCGAGATGAGGCGCAATTTTCACGAATTCCAGTTCAATAGCCGAGAAAGCCCATTGTTTCGTTATTTGCTTGGTGGTGAGATTGAATTGGTAGTAATATAATCGACATTGTTCTACCATTTCGGTTGTGGGTGGTTGGATGTTGCCTGCGGAGAATAATACCGAGGCGGTTTTCATTCTGCAGCAAATCATGTTGACTTTGGATTCATTCTCACCCTTCTCAGGTGAAAATGGCTCATCCCATGTATTAACCGTGTGGAATATAGTATGGGCATCCGTTTCAAACCACTGCACTTTATCTGGTGCGTATCGAGGAAACACACCGAATCTTGTTGTTCCATTCGGATTGAAGGCCACAACGGGTTTATTTCGGGTTAGATTAAAGGGATCCAATGATAAGGGCATGTCGATGATGACTGTGTGATTGTGTGAGACGCCAAAATCGTGCATCATTTTTGGTGAGAAGATGCCTGGGACGGGCATGTTGAGTAGATATCTAGCTTCTCCCCTTTGCTGTTTTTTCTCACTGGATATGACAGAATATCGCACATATGGCTTGATAAAAGTGGAGTGGAATACAACCAATTCGCCAGACTGGGGATCGACATGTGGCTGTTGTATTGTTAACGTGGCATGGTACTAAGGTGATAAGTAAGATATACATACATGTCCCGTCGTCCATTCTCGGAGAGAACCCAGTAAGCCCGATTTCCCAAAACCAGGATTATCGTTAGCACTCTTGATACTCTCCCCCTCTGCTTTCCACCCATCAAACCATCCCACCGTGTAAAGCTGGGGCAGCAACACCCTTATAGGTGGCCCACTCTCACACGTCGCCAACATCCTCCCATCATGGTGAATGATACTCGTGTTCGCGACGCCGATTCTCCTAATCGGCCTCGAAAACCACGACCAGATCACAATACCAACCGTCCGCAGCACCGCACATACAATCCTGACCAGACTCGACGCCGGATCGATCAACGTAGCAATACTGGGTAATACTGGCGCCTGGAGGAGAGGATTCTCAACCGCGGTGCGAAATATATCTGTAACAATGAAACGATTCACATATTCGGGTCTCACGCCATTTGTCGTGCGGCGAAAGAATACACCGCTCAGCATGCCATCACCGTCAAACCAGTGTTCTGCCCGGTTAGACTGCTGCGGGATATATGAGTTTGCGCCATTGCGGATATATTGCCCGCCGATTAGTTCTGGGGGGATGGTGCCGTGGTATTTGCATGGTGTTAGGGTGTGTTGGTGGTGGACTGGGGCGAAGTTGCCCGTTTGTAGACTGCATTGTGTGGAGTAATTGATCAGATCTGTATTAGTACGCGGTGTATATTGCTATGTGGGTCTTACGGAGATTTGAATTGAGGTTTCGTTTCCTGAGACATGTTGATAAAAACTGAATATATATCTGTCTTTGGTTTGTCGACAGTATTTCCGTCTCGCTTTTGGCAATGCGTGGTTCTATCTTTACTATCTATTTATGTAGTGTGGACTTTATCCACATTTTGTTCGCTCAGCCACAGTAATACAGTTCAAGAGTGATTTTCAAACTATTTGTCAGTGGATAGCTAGCTATATGCATGATCGTCACCATGCATGATGAAAATGTGTAATATTACCACACACCTGCGGAAATAAAGCAGCAAAACAAAAATATTCCGGATATTAACTATATAGCATTCCGTTTTCTCAACACTGTCAATTCAAAAGACATCATTCAAAAGTATTGACAATGGGACTAGACTATCTTTTGGTGTAAGTTTTGTTGTCTGACTTGGAACATATGTGCGGACTAACAATGTATGCTGTAGACACCTCACATATAACATCCCACCAGCAGTGGTGATGACAATTGCATACTGGCCATTCTTCACAAAACTAGATCTATACAGGATATCGACTCTCATTACAGTATGTCCTTTACTCCGACGTTCAAATCATTAACTAACCTCATCAAGATTGCTGTACTATCCACCATCCCATGGGACTCGTGTCTCATCGAGAACCAAATCTGGACATACCAACCAGACGCAGTTCTAGGGCCGGCAATATGGTCAATACCTATTGAGGAAGTCTTCTTCTTCATCATTCAGACATACAATACGAGTTTGTTGTATATTATTTTAACTAAGCGGCTTGTTAAACCGATGTATCTGAGCCCATCGGATGTGTGGAAGAGGAATATTGGGATCGTATTTATCGTCATATGTCTGGGTTTGGGTTTTGCTGGCATACATTATGGGGGGAAGTTTACCTATCTCGGACTGATTGTGGGTTGGGTTAGTCCTTTTATGTTGATTCAGTGGTATGGTATCCCGTATGTGCATGTTCTTGGAGACCTAGCTAGACTAATAGTGATGATGCAGGCTCGCTGCATGGAGTTTTATGCTTCGCCTCCCATGCAGAGATATACTCCTTGTGATATGTATACCGACTGCATATCTGTGGTGTGTAGATACTATCGCACTAGGGAACGGGACTTGGGTGATTGAGAAGAACACAAAACTCGACATTCAGTTATGGGGTTGGTTAGACATTGAGTGAGTACCTTATCTATCTACACCGTGCAAAGCAGTCATTTAGTCTAACGTGTCTCAGAGAAGCGCTTTTTTTCCTGGTAACGAATGCCATGATCGTCATGGGGCAGATGGCCACTGACAATGCCATTGCACTGGCTGTATATAATATGGCTACTACTGATGGAAAGGTATCTGAATGTCCTTCATTTGGGCAATTGGTGACAGTTTTCATTGAGGGACACGGCAAACCACTGGACCTAGCATTTATAAATGCCCTCGGTGATGCTGTCGAGAGGCTCAAACAGCAAAGTCAGAGTATGTATTTGGGTAGTGCTATGTTTGTGGGTCGGCTTCGGATTGACCTGATCTTTCTGTGAGTGACCTTTACTGCCTGGATCATGAGTTGATAAGGCTAATTTTGATAGTTATTCCTTCTGTCGAGTGATAGATGATCTGGTTGATGAAGCACCAGACAGAAATACAGCTCACACTGTGGTACAAGAATGCGCAGTTCTCTTGGAAAAAAGATTTGCAGGAGAGGACATCTCGAAATTTGCTCTTGCTCATCCACTGTTGCTATCTTCAATCGAACGACTGCCTATTGATAGGTTATCCATTGAGCCCTTACAAGGTCTACTGAAAGGATTCGAAACCGATCTTGACTTTGACGCCGAAAACAACACGTTCCCCATCTCAACGGAAAAAGACCTAGAACGATACGCATTCCACGTTGCCGGCACAATAGCAAAACTAGTCATTGAACTGACCACATCTAATATCGGATGTTATGACACACACCGACAAATTCTCACAGCAGGCTCGCGCATGGGGCAAGCGCTTCAGTACGTCAATATCGCCCGGGACATCTCGCGCGACGCAGAAATCCACCGAGTCTATTTCCCAACCAGCTGGCTGGAAGAGAAAAACCTTACACCGGCACATGTTGTGAGTTGCCCAGATAACCCGCAGTTGAACGAATTGCGGACAAGACTCCTCAACAAGGCGGATGAATGTTATCGATCGACGGAGCAGGCAATCAGGGAGTTACCATTGGATGTTCAGGGACCCATTCGCGTGACAGTGGAGAGCTATATGGAGATTGGAAAGATGTTGCGAAAGGAAGATTTGCCACGGATGAAGGGGAAGATGAAGATTCCTCTTTTGAGAAGGTTGAGGGTGGCTTACAAGGCGTTATCGATGTATTGAATAGTGGGCAGAGTGGATCGGATCGGCAGCTACAAGCAGGATGGTATACGATAATGCCAGAGATAAACTCTAGAACTTGCAGAAAAAATGGAAATAGGGAATATAAGTGGGTCTAATGCCAATTTCGATCCACGATTATTTTCAGCTCGAGGTAGCGGTGACCGGCTATGGGTTTCACCATGTACAAGTTGCATTATTGGTGGAGCAAATCTATCTCAATAGACAAAAAAAAAAAAAAAAAAAAAAAAAAAAAAAAAGACATAATATTACCTTTCAGATTTTTTATGCTAAGATGTATGTATGAATCTAGCTGGAAATCACTGTGTGTAGAGCGTGGTGACAAAAGGTCACAAAGGGCATGAGAGACACCATCACAATCAGCATAGACACAATCACCAAGCATATCCCAGCCAAAGAGCTTTTCTTGTCTGCATTCCAATCCTCCACAACCTGGTCAACCACCAACTTACTCCCTGCCAGACACACCGGGACGCCAGTCCCTGGATGCGTGCTCGCCCCGACGAAATACAAGCGCGCAATATCCGGGTGTTTGTTCTTCGGACGAAAGCTCAAAACATTGAAGAATGAATGCGATAATCCGAGAATTGCCCCTCGATCTAGATTGAACTTTTCCTTCCAGCTCACTGGTGTCTCGATGGATTCATGTACTAGGATATCGCGTAGCCCCCGAACACCCGTTCGGGCTTCGATTGTGTTGATGGCTGTTTCTCTTGCTTTGGAAACGATGGTTATCCAATCTGCCTCGGTTATAGATTCTGTATTCTCGAGGAGGTGGCCGGTCGGTACTAGGACGACGACCGCATCTTTTTCGTCTGGAGCGGCAGTGCGGTCAATTCGACTAGGAACATTCACGTAGAACGACGGTTCGTCTGGCAACTTGTGGTATTTGAAGATGGCATCGAAGCTTTCCTCGTATTTCTCTGCGAGGAAGATATTGTGTGCTTTTAATTCGGGAACTACCCTATCGAAGGACCAGAAAAATGAGATGCTGCTGCAGGATGCAGGGCGGTTTGAAAGGCGACATGCTTCTTTGGATGCGGGGAGAAGATTTTGATATGCGTAAACAAGATCTGCATTTATCACGACAATATCTGCGTCAAGCCTTTCGCCAGATGATAACACTACGCCAGTTGCGCTTTTGCTGTCGCCTGAGAGAAGAATTGAGGAGACAGGCGAATTGAGACGATATTCAACTCCAAAGCTTTTTCCAATCGTTGCTATGCTTTCCAGGACCTATCCTTGTCAGCTGTATTCATTCATAGACCTCCCTGTATGAGATACCTTTTGGAACCCCCCAGCCGGATACCAGATCCCATCTGCCAATTCCGTATATTGAAGCAGAGAATATGTCCCTGGAGCTTCATACGGATTCATCCCCAGATACATGCTGGCAAAAGTGAAGATCCTCCTCATCTTCTCAGACCGAAAGTACCGACTCAATCGACCATGGATGCTTTCAAATGGATGCATCTTGAACACAGACAGTAGAAATCCCGGCCTCAACATACTCAGCAAACTGGGAAATCTACGTCGAAGAACATGAATGAGGGATAAATCATGATGACGACCAGATTCCTGCATGAATTGTAAAAAGTTTTGAAAGCCTTCTTTGCCTTCATACTTTTCAATTTGGGGCTTGAGGCTTGCAATGTCGGTGGAAAGATCGAAGCTATCATTGTCTGTAAACCACAGTCTGTAGTTGGGTTCACATTTCAAGAGTTTAATTCCTTCCTCTTCCAGTGACGTTCCTAGTTGGTTGAACGTGTCATGGAAGACTTCTGGCATCAGCAATAGTGAGGGCCCTTGATCAAATCTCTGTTAAGTTGTTAGTTTATGAATAGCAGGTAGGAGGGAAAGACAAAAAGCTAACGTAGCCATTATGAGTGATGAGAGAGCATCGTCCACCAATGAACCCATTCTTCTCAATAACCGTCACTTGAAAGCCTTGTTTTGCTAATCGAGCAGCTGTCGCTACACCTCCAGCTCCGGCACCTATGATGGCTTAGTTACAATCACTTCAAATAGATGGATGCTTACCAACTACAACAGCCTTTGGTGTCATTCCTGCAATATCTAGTATATTAAAATATACTCAAACATGTCTCAGAGACCTAACTACGACTTTAATATCCACACATGACACAACATCAACGCCCGATACATCTTCCATCTGCACACCGCAAGTAATCACCTCTACACCTGCGCAGCCCACAGCACGAGGCCGAAATACGCCAATCCAATCACATCGGCAATCCCGTACAAAACGCCCTCCACACTAGGCGAGAGTATATTGGCCCCTTCACTAATACACCAGACCACTCCATACATCAGCCACGTCGCCATACAAAACAAGGCACACACCATGTAGCGACTGCGTCTGGTAACATGTTTGGCTGAAACATTTTTGTATCCAGTTACGATTGCTAGATACGTAATGCCAGCCCAGGGGAGAGCTCCATAGCCGCTGAATTGATTCAGAGTGTCAGTTGAGTGATCTACAGGGTAGTAATAGATAGTAGCGATTGTACTACTCACAAATAAGCCCACTTATATGAGGACGGAATCAAAGCACTGATCAACGTCGCCACAATAGCTGAAAAAGATATCACAGCCTCCAAGAAAATAAGTCGGAACGAGGCCCCGGTGAGGAGACAGAGTTCAATCATCGCCAGTGGGGCTGATACAGTCCTAAATCGATCCACTTAGTACGCTATCAAGGATTCCACATGTTCGATTTAGTTTGAAGAGGGGTTCTAACCACAGAATGTAGCGAACCCAATAGACCTGTCGTGTCGGCGTGCTAACCCTTGTTTCTGCTCCTTGGGGAAACTCCACCTGGACCGCTACCCAGCCTAAATCAGCCCCCATGGTGAAATAGGCAAGACAGCCTGCATATGAGGACAATGCGGAAAGGTAGTATAATGTGCGCATTGACCTTCTTTGGGTGAGTATCCCTGCAATAAGAAAGGCCAGTGTAGCGACGGTAAAGATGGCAGTTACTGCCCAATACCTGGTTTGATTCAGCAGGGGGTATACAGCCTTGGAGGATAGGTAACACTTACCAATTAAGTCCCCAGTTTGATACATGGATATCCGCTGGGACTGTGTGTGCCACAATCTCTCTTGGGCGTAGCATTTTTGGTATAAGGAAATGGTATACAGGTGAAAACAATATCAAAATCGAGCAAGTCTAGATAAGTATTCTATCTATCTACTCTATATGCAGGACACTGGTATTAGTACCTCAACAAACCATAAATGAAAAGCCTGTATCCATATCTAGATAGTTCTGCAGATCGCAGGTTTAAACGTCGCTTAAGAACTGCTTTTAAGCCGATCGATATAATTTGTCAGTATAGTCTGTCAATATGATCTGTTAGACCTAAAGGCTGATCGGACAAGCGGTATGCCTCGTGATGTGCGTGGAAGTAGCGATTAATGGAGCCCCTCCACGACATGCTCATCTTGCTCGGCGTTCAACAAACCCCATCTATGAGCCGTCCGGAAATATAACCAAAATGAGTGTTTCTTCATTTCACATGATAAAATTCGCCTTGTCGAATCCAGCAGCCTTCAGTCTCGATCCAGACGGTCCGATTCCATTTGTATATCGACTCATCACCGCAAAGCGACTATCTGCAACAGACCTTGACCTAACGCCTTTTCGAGGTAAAAGAATTCTAATTGTAGGATCTAGCAGCGGCTGTGGACTGGAATGTGCGCGGATTCTAGCCCAAGCTGGATGCCATCTTATCATCACAGCCAGAAACGAAAGCAGGGGCGAAGAGATGGTAGAGGAGCTTAGGAATGGAGCTCATCATGATACCACGGTGAAGGCGATGACACTTGATGCAGCATACTTTGAGTCTTTGCATCGCTTTGGTGCGGATGTTCAACGTCTCTCGCATTTAGATATGGTGGTTCTCAATGCGGGGGTGTATCGAACTGATTATACCATTTGTCCGGAGACTGGTTGGGAAGAGACTTTACAGGTGCGTTTATATCAACCATGAAAATATACATGTACCAATTGACAAAAAAGATCAACTTTATAAGTACTTATATCCTATCTCTCTTACTCCTTCCCCTTCTATTGAAGAGTCCCGTACAAGGCCGTCTACTCCTCGTATCATCCGAGGCACACGCATGGGCAGATATAGAAAACCACAATCTCCACGACCTATTACACTCTCTCAACAACCCAGACAAATATAACTGCTATGACAGGTATCACGCCTCAAAGTTTCTCGTTGTCTTGTGGGCCCAAGAACTATCCCATCGTCTCGATCCGCAAAAGGTGTTGGTCGCTTCTGTTTCACCGGGATACTGCCTTACAGGCCTCTTTCGGGACTTTAATACAAAAACTTTTTCGTACTGGCTGGAGCGAATATTCTGTCGAAGTGCTGAAAATGGTGCATGCGAATATGTTGCTGCTCTGGCTAATTTGGACACTACGAGTGTGGGGAGGCTTTTTGCAAACACTACTTTTTATCCGTATGTTTGTTGCGATATGTTTTGAATGTGGATGAGACTAACATGTGTATAGACCGTCTCGAGCAGCGAGTTCAGAAATAGCGGGGAAGATTCGTACCAGTATGTATCAAAATATGGCTGTCATCATGCCGGGGCCGATATCAGTGTTGCTTCAACTGGACCAACTAGATGTATAGACATCTCGCGTAACCGAATTTGGAGTGGACCTGGTTTATCCCAACCCCTTCTTTAGTAAAATTGAGGCAGCATACCCAGGCTCCTCATGGATGATGTCTATATAAAGCCATAATCTACGCCCAGGACCTATAGAGAATCTACTCCTTCCACTTCCATCGTCATCCCCGGGTTCCAAATGCCGCACATCGAGTACACAACCCAACTAGTCAATCTTATGCTGTTATCATTCAATCAAGTTCATTGTCCATATCGAGCCCTAAAGCTATAACAGACCATATTCAATGAACTCGAGACTTTTAACTAAATCCCAGACTCTTGTCCTCATGAGTTCCCGAGGTAGCACCTCCTCCTATAATCTTTCTGATCCTTTTTCTCACCCCAAGCTGCCTATATGCTCAGGGCTATTAGCAGAGTGCTCTCCTTGTGTTGTGGGGTAAGACGAATGTGGCCTAGGCTGACTCTCAGCTTAGGCTACCCTCCTTACTACCCTTCTCTTGCTCTAGCTGTCTCCAATGCTTCCAGTCCCCATTCATCATCTCTTTCCGCCGTTCACTGTAGGTATGCTCGCGGCAGAGCTACACTAATACTGGCTAGGAATTGTAGCAGTGCCCTGGTAAATTTTGTGATGGCTTAACGCCTCAACGCCGCCTGAGTTGCTGATATCGACAAAGGCCACCATACAAGCAAATAAAGAAAGCACTTGGCGCGGTCACAGAGATCATGGGGGAAAACCTCTTTTTTCCGTAGAAAGATTCATTTTCTTCTTCTCTCTCCAGAGTCGATATTCTCGTGGATGAACTACAAATAAATTAGATAGGAATCTAGCTCGTCAATATCTACTAATGTTGGGTGAAAAAAGTGAGCTATGCTCCTTGATTCATGACACGACTGCAATTGATGAAGGCATCTTGAGAGGTACATCCAAGCTCCAGGAACATAGTAGCGCGAGGATGTTTTGGGCTGCAAAAAGGGAGACTGCAGGGTAGATGACGCCACATACTGCCTGATGGGTCTCTTTGACGTGTAACGGCATGAAACACTTAACTATATAAGTGAGTGCAATACTAAGCCTATCGGCTTAGTATCCCAGTCTTTTACTCCTGGCGCAGTGGTTATGTTTTTAGAATGCACCCTAGAATTATGGCCGTGACATGACGTTAATGAGCTATTTCTGTGTGGTGATGGTGAGAAAGAGTTTATTAGGCATCAGGATATGGATTACCTGACACTCTTTCTCTGGGAGACAGACAACATGTCTCCTCATATGCCGCCACAGAGGCTGCTGGCACAGTCGCCTACAGGGCACAAAGGGTCGGCGGACATGGTCCTGTATTGCTTTTTCAAAGCTGGTATCCCCTTTGCGACCACGAACAGAGAGATTAGACTCCACATCCTGTCTGTCACAGAGCACAGGCTTTCACCAACAACACGAGATGTTGGTATACTTTGGCCTGTTTGAATATAGGGCAGGAACCCCCTTCGCACACTGGATAGCGCAGGGCTGGCAGGCCCAGCTTCTTTCTTTCTTTCTCCATATTAGTATTTCGATGGAGAGTCTACCAATCAATTTAAATTGTTCGAAACCGTCACACCGTCTAGAGTACGGGAGTGATACACGTACAATGATTTGCGAGTACCAGGAAGCCTCCAAGCCTGAAATACGGCTCGTTGAAACCAAGCTGCAGTCTATACCGGTTTTTGATAGCTAATTTCTCAGAGTAAATCATCTTTTATTCGAGATATTTCGGTTGGCGCTCTATATGACGCTGTTCTAGAGACTGTTTACATGATCAAAGACCACGCATGGAATACTGCACCAGTCATTACCAAGCTCTAGTTACTCTCATATCGTACACTAAGCCTCGCTCTCGCTCTATACCCATTAAAAAGAATACAGCCTCATCCTTCGCTACACTCGTTCAAAAGAAATGCATATATATATATATGCTCGCTTCGCGAGCAAAAAGAAACATACAACAGCCGGGATTCGCTGGTGGTCACCCACCCAACTACTAACCGGCCGGCGTGTGGCTTAAGTACGGCTGAGCGGACGGGAAGCCCTGTTCTCCACACCCTATGGTCGTATGTAATTATTTTCTCGTTATTTTAATATATAACAATTGTTAAAATGAGCTTTAGTGCTATAGAGGTGAACCATCACCCAATATAAGACATCGCCAAAACCCAACCCAACCCCAAACTGGGTATGGGTTTGGGATCCCAGAAAAAACCTAAACCAGAATAACATATTTTTTGTCATTCATAAAGCTGATTATTCATCCCAATAGAATACAGTTGTTTAGCAAGGAGCCAGAGGCCGACGACCTTATGGCGAAACCTAATTGCGAGAAAAGCTGAACAGATTTGTCAACTACTTATGCTCGGGAGGATGTTAAAAGGCACTATTTAGAACGAATAGAGGAAGAACTCTGATTCTAGATATCTATCTATCGTACGGCCTCTCTATACATAATCTGGCGGCCGTTAACTAAGCGCAAAAGGGAATGTCGTTGCGAAAGAAATTCAAGGATATAAAAGGAGCACAAAGCGCATAACGCATGTATGCGGTGGTCCTTGTCAAAGGATGCTGGCTGCATAGTTGTATCCGTTCATTTATATGCTCGGGCAGCCGTAAGTCGTACGTCATATATAGAAGTCAACAGAAACCCAGTTTCATCAAAGTTATAAATATCTGCTTCCTGGATGCCATACTTCGTGAATATGTTTCGAACAAGCATGAACCAACAATGGATAACTTCTGGGTCTTCGCATAGAGCTCTCTGACAGTCATATTTCCGACTAAAATAAGTCATGAGCTCTAGGTGTCGTTTGACAAAGGTGCTAGTACAGTTTGCCCCAACACGTCCAGTTTCGCCATCCTGGCCGGATGCTATTAGCCTCTATCGCCCTCGCTTCAAAATACTCGAGCCCGATAACCACTCTCTAAACATGACAAAAGATGCGAATGTGATTTACGCCCCACATATATCATTGTCTTTCCTTTGGTCTTTCCCGTGACTGAGAAGCAAATTGAAAATCGGGATATGAGGTGCTCACAGTCTGCTTATTATGATCACTGTTATTCTCCAATAATTTTCGCGGGGAAGATGGCTCCAGGCGTAGAATCAGACCGACAATCATCGCTTCAATCATGCGAAGGATGACCAGGAAAGGTGACAAGAGCGGTTGGTGGGAGCCCGGTTCAACGGGCTGGTTGCTCGTTGCAGTTGCAGTTTTTGTTGGTACTGCTGCTGATGAAATAAGTTTTGCTTGGCTTTTCTGGCCGCCTTCGCTATTGCTTTCGGCTACCAACATTGTGGATGATGAGGGTGAAAGATGACTGATGGGACTGGTTTGCTTGTTCTGAGTGCCAATTATCTGTGACGTGGATATGAGATCTTGCGCTGATGTAGGCACTGTGCTGTTCACTTGCGCATGACTATTTCCATTGTTATCTGGGGCCTGTAACTGGAAGTCAGGCGGAGGCGTATTGAAAACAGAAGGCAGTTTCTTGAATAAAGATGGCATGGAATTCGGGACCTCCACAGGAACGTCGAGCTGATTTCGCTTGATCATCTCATCTGGTAGACCGATTGCCAGACTATCAAGTTGATGCTTAAACTGTTTTGTTTGTCGAACGTCGACGAGGGTGACTGCAGACCCTTGATCCTGTTTTGCTTCTGGGGGGAATCTGAAGTTCCGGGCCTTACCCTTCCAGGCTTCCTTCAGCTGATGGGTTCTCTTTTGTAATTTGCCGTTGATTTCAACGCGTATCCGAAAGACTTCACGATCATGCTCAAATGCAAAACCCGTCCGGATCACGTTGCTGTGAAACGATTGTGAATCGAGCTCGTTTTCGGTCAACTCCCACTTCAGCGTACGATACACGACTGCGCTGCTCGCGGATTTGCCCGGCATCAATTGGCCGGTGAATGCCCATCGCCTGACCTCGTTTGTTGTTTGTTCGTTCTGAATGCCAACCCCACCGCCGCTGCATCCCATGGCATTTGCTTCCGGCATAAATTGGTAGACTCGCTTCGTGGGCAAAACCGTTGGCTCACCGTTGAGGTGCTTCGGGCCATAGTAATCGGTCAGCTGGAGTGTGTTATGGTTGAGGGATTGGGGTTTTGCGTCAGAGTCAAGAGGCTCTTCCTTCTCCAGCATGACCAGCACGGCGGCGGACTTGAGCCGACAATCTTGAGGCTGGTCGAAATTGAGGTCGACGTACAGAATTCCGGCCGGACTGGAATTATTTATTGTGCCCCATTGGGACTCAGACAGACGGAATCGACAATCCACTCGGACTTTTCCCATATGGCGGGAACCCAAGCTCGCAGAGGAAAGCTGTCCAAAAGATTGGTATGAACGGCCATATTTCCGCGCGAAACGCGGCCGTGTCTGTTGAGATATCAATCCTGGTTCCATCATTATTATTATTGGCAAAAGGCTCGCAGTTGGTTATCAACTGGCGGCACTCTCTTTCTTATGAGGTACGAACGCTGGAGTGATCAGCCTCAAAAATCAGCCTTGCGGGCGATTTATCAGAAATACAGAGAACATCAGCCACAATTACAGCGACTAGTTCGGCGTTCTGTCACCATTTTCTGCATTACTTGTAAGCCCGTGCGTGTTCCTGCGAGAATATTTTCAAGACCCTCATGTCTTCTCAAATCATTGCCGCTGATCGCAAGGCTGACTACTGCCGGTCCATTTCCCCCTGTTGTTCCTTTAGGGTTGACTGGCCATAGAAAAAAATACAAGAGATCTAAAATAAGAACAAAAGAACCCTAGTTTAAAACCCTCCAGCCTCCCCTCCGGTTTTTTTCTCTCTCTTCTCCCACCTTTGTGTGTTTCATCATCGTCACGACTTCAAGTCGAGTCGTGTTGGCCACCTGTTTTCCAGCGTATTGGTGCTCTCTTCTTTTGTTTTTGTGCTATATATCCCTTTACCGCGTTTTCTTTCATCCCATCTTTTCCCTTGTTTTAACGCTTGTTCGTCCTTGTATATCGTATACCTGGCTCAGTGATCCTCGCCTGACCGATTGCCTGCCACCAAGTCTATCAAGGTCATCACTTATCTCTACCTCTTTTCTCTCTCTTCATTTCAATTTATACCCAGCTTGAAGGCAGTATTAGATGATATAAAAATGCTTCGCTATCCAACTATCCCCATCATCTCCGAAAGCGAGACAGACTACTCCGACACAGGCATCTCCATTGAAGCCCGTTCCCCGCGTCGACGTACGTCATTCAGAAGACGCTCTGTGTCCCGTCAGCGCCGGCCCGACTATAGCAACGCCTACTTGAACCCGGTGGTCCAAGACCTTGGTGGTCTACAGAGGTCCGCCTCGACGGGCGCCCGTCGACTTAACCACCGCGACCATCACCGGGAGCCCGAACATCCACAGCGGGACTACGACATGCTCGTCGACCAGCAGATGCTGCAGCGGAACAATACTCGGCAAGACCTAGAGCTCATGGAGCAGCAGGCAGAGATTGAACGGTTGGAGAAGGAGCTCGCGCATCATCGTGAGGAGCACAAAGCCCACGATGATGAATGTCTGAATCACAGTCATGAGCACCGTCTCGTCAGCGAGGAAGACTTGGAGCCCATGAAGCAGCAGGCAGAGATTGAACGGTTAGAACGGGAGCTCGCGCGTCGTCATGAAGAGCACGAATCCCATAGCAGGATTGACCATGTGTTTCCGGTCGGAGGATATCAGCTTGTCCTGAGTCCGCATGTCGTTAAAGATTCAACAGTGCATTTCGAGATGGATATCGAGGAGGATTTCGAGGCCCAGCTGGAGGAGTTTTCGCGGTTGAAACGACTAGGTCTATTTAGCGCTGCTTGGGAGATGTTCCAAAGCGAGTTGGCAGAGCATACGGCATACTCTTTCCCTGTTCTCATCGAGTATGCAGACATGCTGTATGAGCAGGGCCATTATCGTGCTCTCCTGGACCTGATGCGCGAGTACAGTCAGCATTTGGCCAAATGGAAAGTCAGTGGCAGCGATCAGATGCTATTCACACTGAACGAAGCGTTAGCAGAGACGCTTTCCGGCGGATATTCAGGCATCAGTCGCAGGCGTTATCTTGCCAAAACTGACGAGCTCTTCGCTGAAAGGGATATCGATGGCATAAAGGTATTTATAGGAGTCCTGTGTATTTGGGTCCATGTTTCCTTGCTTACCATGTCTAGCTCCAAATCTTGAATCGGCTGCTGAGGTTATGGACAGTGTGTGACAGTGAAAAGCGAAGAAGAAAACAAATTTCTCGCCTTGTTCAGTTGAGAAGCCACCCGGTCACCAAGGCCTTGATTGCTCAAGAGCGCTTCTGGGAGTTTAAAGACTTAATCGTGGAGTTAACAAACTATGACGTTGAGGGGGCATGGCTCAATGTTTTCTTGAGCTCGTATGGCGATGATACCTCCCTTCGGGTGCTGATTGAGGACTGGACTTTGGGGCCCTACGATGAATCCTCTTATTTGGCGCTGCTCGACATTCTAGTGGCATTTTCTGGATATCCTGTCTCGAAGCAACCGGCCTCGGACAATAAAAGCTTGCCAGCATTCGGACGCATCCTCCAATGGGCTCGTCAAGTTGCCAATACTATCGAGGCCCAAAGCCCGGGCCTGGTCAAGTCACGGCCATATCTTCGCTGGATCTTAGCAGAAGCAGAGCATAGCCGTCGACTTGAAGGAGACGTGCTCCGGCGACATCTTTCTCGGTTCCCAGGTGTGACGGTCTACAGAAGCCTGCTGCCGATGTACATCCCGAGCACTTGTGAGAATCCTGGATGGCCTGCGGTGCATGCGCATCCACGGTATACCAAGCTTGTCCAGATTGCACTCCACGCGGCTCAAGAAAATGGGGATTACCAAACCGAGATCCTATGCCTGCAGGAGTTGATATGTCGATCTTCACACCCGCAGGAATTGTTCGAGCAGCTGATGCAACGACAAAAAGTAGTGGAGGGCAGCTCGATTGCATACCAGCAAACCCGCGTGTCAACGTATCTAATAGGAAACAAGGGAAGCTCGGAATCACTGGGGACCTTGCTAAATGAATACCATTTCGGTGACTCTCCTACCCAAGCTATTTCACGTCGAGCTGAAGAAGGGCTCACCCCGTGGTGCTATGCCATGCTGCGACGGGCATATGCCATCTACGAGGGGCAGAATAAGGATAAAACAGAAACCGAGGCCTTTTGCCTTTTATCAGGAATTCCCCGTGATATTTCTTCCATTGTCCATAGGAAAGCCATACTTATATCCAGGCGGCAGCGCCGAATCTCGATCACTATCGGCAGTGACCTGAGTTCCGACTCTGACGTGGAGTATTTTGACTCCCGCGACAGCAGAAGGCAAGCTGAAGCTGGTTCTTCCAGGGAGAGGTCTATACGTCATAGCAAGATCCCAGAAGCTCCAAAGCCCACTAATATTCATCAGCTATCGAAACCTGCTATTAATTTTTCCAAATACGATCCGCCTCGTTCCACTCGCCAGCGTTCCATTGAATCAGACAAACACATCCACAACAGCACCAAGTTAACGGGCGCAGACGAGGGCATTCAAACCAAGGATCAAAATGATAAACATACCGCAAAGCCGTATGGAATTGGAGATGAATTAGACATCAAGGGAGCCCCAAAAAATTCCAGTGCTAGGAACCTAGATCCAGCTGAAGAAGATGGATCACAAGAACCGGGGCGGCCTCCAACAAGCCTTCTTGAAGGTAGACCGCCGATGCAGCCACAAGTCGACGAGAAATCACCTTCGCCTCCAGAGTTACCATAATGGTGTCCCAAAGAATAGAAGAAATACCGAAGTTTCCGTTACAAAGCTGCAAATTCGGCTGAGAGCTTCTTCAATCTAGAGTCTCTCGTGCTAAGAATTTCAACTCAATGCTATTCTTCTCTAAAGTGCAGTGTCCTGCCTTTCTGTACACCTATAAAGCGCCTGATATAGCTCCAAATTATAAGAACCGCATCTAATATTACTCTGTTTCTATACTCGCGACGCGGATGAGTGGAATGGCTTGGTGAACCATTATGGTCGCGTGGATGGTGCAAATTGGGTTCCATACAAAGCTTAAGGAGCTGATAATCATCTCACCACTGTATTTATGGGTATAGTCACCACAGGCGGGCCTTCTACTTCTCAGCGAGGGCAGGAATTGTGCTGTCCGAGATTTCTGAGGATCCTCCCCAAACCCATCCCGAGGTCCAGACCCCCGACCTGCCGAATCGAAACCGAAAAATTTGAGATCTGTGCCATCTCACAAAATGGCCAGGGCTGGGATCCAATGGCCCAATTTCCCGTTAGCAAATCGCAGGCTGGTTTATGTGAATATGAAACGGATAAACCAATGAAGCGGTTATACTCCGCGTCCGGTAGTCGATTATTCGGCCTGCAAGAGGCTATAGGCGAGGAATTTAAATTACACTGGGGATGGCATTGATATCTATCGACTCGCAGATGGTAGGATGAGTGCTTGACCATCTAAAATCTATGGCTACGGTGTCCCTATATTCAGAGTCCGTCGGACTCTGAAACGGGAAAGCTTCGGGGCAGCGGTGCCAATGGCCCGGATAACCGTACGAGGTCTATATGACAGCCGAGAACTATAGCGACAGCATCGCGCAGCAGCGAATGTACGTGGTATTGAAACTACTGTAGAGTGCTTGCTAAACTAAGAGCTTCATCGCCGTACGATAAAACCTCTCCGGAGCTCGCCAGATCGGTCCGATATTCACCCAATCTTCATCATTATCAACCTGATCCTTGTTCCCTTCCTGCATTCTCATCACAGCTTGTCCAATAATTTTGCCTGGTCCCCCGCGTCTTCACATGAGGCTGATGTGACAAGTCTGTAACAGGTCTGATGAGGCCGAGGTTGGAGGGCGAGAAATGAAAATGGCTTGTCCGGGATGTGATCAAGCTGATCGTATGGCATTGAAGACATAAGGGCCTCTCCCATGTTGCCCCATCAATGTCTGACATGATAAGCCAACAATTGGGTAGAAGTGGTGAATATACTGGGGCCTGGGCTCACCTCTTTACCTGAGAGCTCCGCTCCTTTAGCAACGCCAGGCAACTTTGCTACTGGGTTCAAGGCGGACGGGGCCTGCGCTGGACAGCCCCTCGTGCTCACTACTCCGGTCGAGTTACTCGTTACTTCCGGTCCAAATCTGCCACCGAGCACTGTAGGTACTCGGTGGGCTGCGGTTAACGCCGAGATTGGATATTATTATAGGGCGGTGGCTCTGAGTCCTGCATTCTATTGGATGGTCCACGCAAGGAAGGCTTTTCCGTTATCTGTCCTACTCCATTTTATTGCCACCATATACCGCCTAACATACTGCCGGTTCTAAGAGTCCGTATGTAGTTATGTATTATTATTCTTACATACATAGCTTAGCCGAGCCCAATAGGCACTGTGCGATGTTGGGTGATGATCACGCTAGAAACGCATTAGGGCTAGACTCGTCATGTGTAATCGGGCCCCGTGGCCCACAACAACTTGTGGATTAAACACGCCTATTGCGCTTATCAGCCACGATAGAGACCCATGACTTGGAACTTCCCCAGGATTCCTCCCCAGTTTTTCTCCAGCTTGCCTCCACCTTTTTTGCCATCGTTTGTCATCGGCTAACCTTTCTATCTCCATCGCGCGAGACAAGCTGCAAAGGATGTTTGAGTGCGAGGAGTGTGGCGACGAATTCTGGTACCGCGAAGACCTCACCGAGCACCTGGAAGATTACAACCACTGGCGTGAGTGCGAGACTTGCACCAGGATCTTCACCACCCAGCGCGCTTGTAACCAGCATATGAACGACACCGACCACTGGGCACCTCGATATGAATGTGAGAGCTGTGATAGAGAGTTTATGTCTCGGAATTCTGCCAACCGGCATATGAATGCTGTTGGACATTGGGCGCCTAAAGTTCCCTGCGAATCGTGCTCTGCTAAATTCCACACCCAGCAAGCTGCGGATCAACATATGAAGGCTCGGAATCATTTCAAAAACTACTGCAGAACTTGTGATCGTCGATTTATAAATGAAAATAACCTGCGAGCTGTAACTATCATGTCCCTTTCCAGGCGCAATTGATGCTAATGAGGCTTTTACTGTAGCACCTCAATTCCAAGACCCACCGTGGCACAAACGTCCCCTGTCCTTTCTGCAAGACAAAATACACATCAGCCAATGGCCTCGCTCATCATCTTGAAACAGGTTCCTGTCCTAGCGCCTCCAAGCTTAATCGCGAGACCATCTACCGTATGATTCGCGAGCGCGACCCCCACGGGGTCATTACTAAAAGGCAGATTGAATGGCATGGGAGAGCTACTGCTGTATACACAGCAACTGATCGCGCATTTAATGGATCTCACTGGGAATGCTACATCTGCCATAGACAGTTTCGGCTCAGGCATCACCTGAACCAGCACCTCAATTCGCCTGTCCACCAGCAGAAGGTGTATCATTGTCCGAAGCGGGCTTGTGCGAAGGAGTTTGTTACCTTGGCTGGTTTATTCAACCATCTTGAGAGTGAGAGTTGCGGTATGATGAGATTTGAGAATGTGCAGCGACACGTAGGCAATGTCATCCAGGGCCGGCACCTCATCTCTTTCTAGTGGTGTTTATCTGGTACGACAGTCTTTCCTGGGCTATCATATAACACTGGGGGATTTCAAATCGGTCTGTTTCTTGCACTGAGTGCATTTCTGTTATCCAGGGCTCCATACCAGGGTATGTCACTAAGCGGGCCATAGTTGGGGTCTCTCTTGAACATATCATAGATAGTCAGATACCGAGACACTGTGTGCTGCCTAAATCGGTTGCCTGTTCCCGTGTAACTGGATGATTCAAGAATGCTCTTAGAGTGAAGCTCTTTTCCAGATGTGCAGTGCATGCTACGAATAGATCTCGTCAGACTCTCTTTGAAGGTGAGAGTGAGCGTACGAAACGGCCCGGAGGTGTCCCTTAGCGCAACTGTCCCTTAGCGCAACTGTCCTGTTGAAGAGGCTTTGGTGCAATGGCCCCTGGTACGCTTTCTGGGCAAGGCAGCGCCCCTCGCAACGTCGCTCACTATCTTTTTGATTGGTTGATCTATTTAATGTCGGGGGTCGGGCTTTCCCACGGGAACACCTTTTACTTGGTTACCGATGTGAAACTACCTTTACTGACATTGCAGGATCATGATAGAGCCTGGTAATGGACAGCAGGGTATATATAGAGGAATTCTGTTTTTCAACAGTGTCGATTCCCTTGTGCATCTTATTGCTGATCCTTTGACCATATAAGCGCTTCAACGGCGAAAAGCAACCCACATCCAATGGTTGAAGGAGATGAGATAAAGCTGTTTAGCAAGGAGTCAGAGAGCGACGACCTAATGGCGCAACCTAGTTGCGAGAAGGCTGACGAGACTCCTGTATGACATGGCTGCCTTGCACAGCGGCTGGGGTTTGTTTGACTCTCCACAAATAACGGAGTTCATTGGCAATTTCCTGATCGTCAGATAGCGCAGTCTGCGCTTCTGAAAGCTCGGAAGCCTGACCGATATAAATATGATAGCGGCATTTTCGAGTCCCTCGTTGGTCGTATCGTTGACCGTTTCTTACTAACCGTTCCCACCGACTAACAGTCCTCGGTTGAGCCCGTCATGAGCAGGGAGACCAAAAGGAGTGCCCGGTGCGAGTGGTGCTGGGGCCGGTGCCGCTACAGACTACACTCCGGCTTATCCAGTGCAGCAGCCCGCCTACTATGGAGGCGCGCCGTTGACGGAACCGCCGTCAACCCACATACGTGCAGCGGTCGGTGGAAATGGAGACGCAAGTGAGAGTAATTAATATATTGACCATATATAAACCATATATACATTCACTATTACCGTAACGGAGATTCAGGATCTTCAGAGTCTATCATGTAGATCCGTACCCGTCGTCTACCGAATATCACGCCGATCACTCACGGCCAAATCAATATAGCTTGGAAAAGAAACTGTTCCCCTGTGACACTCGCCGAAAGTCATCGACGGCTGGACTCACCGGCTTCAGCTGAATATCCTCCATCTCCATTGACTCGCGCTCCCTCCGATGATACACATCCGGCTGGCTCTCCTCCGCTTTGGCCTTCATGTAATAATGCTCGTCTTCCTCTTCCATCCCCACAAACCACTTTTCCTTCAACTGTCTTCCTTCCGGTCCTCCGCCGCACGCGCCCTGCAACCGTGCTGAACAAGGACTGTTCATGGCGAGTGCGAAGAGATTCGGCGGCTCCGTGAAATCCGTCACTTGCTTGCCGCGGACTTCGAGCATCAGAAAGACGAAACAGATGGCGCTGGTGACAAAGGCAAAGACGAGGATGACGTAAAAGACACCCTGCCATTTCTCGGCGCCCCCCGAAGCATACCCCACGGCCTGGACGGAGGCAGAGAAGGATTGCCGCGTGGGCGGAGAGAGGATATGCTCGGTGTAGTTCCAGAAGTGGACGAGGGGGCTATGCTGAGAGCTGAGGATGAGGGTGCTCCCGGCCATCACGGCGAGAGCTTCGCTGATGGAAGGGAGGGTGCGGTTCAGCGCGAAAGTATGGCTGGTGTTGTCAAAGCCGGGGACGAATTGCATCAGGAGCCGGTCGTTGCTGGCTTGGCCGTCGGCGATTCCAGAACCTAGACTGAGGGCGTTGGCCCAGCCCGAGGCGACATTCTTCCAGTCGGGCTCCCACATGCCTTCGGTGACCTCCTTGTTCGTTCGGCTGTATTGGAGGTCGTTGGCGGCGTCTTCGCAGTGGCTGTAGAATGAGGCCCCGCTGGAGGCTGCTTCGTAGCGCGTCGAACAGACGCCCGTCTGCTTCGCCTTGAGCGAACACAGCACATACGGCGGGTCGGTGATGAAATCCGGCGACGCCCCGAGCAGGTAGATGGCATCGGTGGGCCACAACCCCGTCGTATTGGTGATGCTGTTGTACGGCTTCGGATACTTGCCAAACACCGGCGGTCGTTGACCATACTTCTCGCCAAAGCCGAACAGATCGTCGACGACAGTCTGGTTCAGCCACGACGGATACCGCGGGATATCCGGCGGGGGTGTAACACTCCAGTTGGTCGGGCTGAACGGGTACGAGGTATTGGGCCACTCGGTGTAGATCAACGGCGAGAGTTCGTCCTTGGTCATGCCCACGCAGAGCACATTCACGGCGGGCGAGGGGACCGATGCTTCGAGGCTGTATTTGCCTTGACCGGATGCTTCATGGGGCTGTCGGATGCGGTTGATGGGGTCTTTGGCTGCGGATAAAATCCCGCCGTGTGGCATGGCCATGGTGACATTGTTGACCAGTCGACCGTGTTGCGATGAGAGCGCTGTCATATCGGCAATGTCGATCCAGCTGCCGGTGACGGTGGTATTATCGTAGATGGACCCCGTTGGTCTCGGGCGCGCAGCCTGCTCTGTCGACGTCCCATTGCCCTGGTTAACCAAGCCACTCCATTCGGTAATCCACTGCTGGTAGTTGTGATAGGCGTGGCCGACATGCTCCATCTCCAGACAGGTGATGTTGCGATTGACCGGGTCCATCGCAACAGTGACCGGCGTGTCACAGTGCGAGTCCAGATACAACGTATTCGCAAAGCTGGCAGCCACACTGCCTTGCAGCGTGGTCAATTTCACCGGTCCCATTAACAGCTTTGGCGAGACTAAAGCTTCGGCTGCGGTGGTATACAACATGGCCACCAGCGTTGCCGTCAAGGTAATCATCCCGAGAAACGACAACCCGGAATACTTGACATTCTCCCAGTGGATAATCAGCGATCCCGGCTGCATGATCCACGTCCGCATACTCATATCCGACAGGCTAATCCCGCGCGAGCCCTGCATCAACGCGCGCCGACTGAGCACCTGGCCCAGAAAGGCCACACAGACAGTGACATACGACAGTTCAATCGTCTTGGCGAACAGCGCACTCAGTAGATTCGCCGTTGACGGTGCCAACCCCCCATCGCCAATTCGGCTCTCCCACCTCGGCTTCAACAACCCAATGACAAGATAAACGCCCGAAAAGACCGTCGCGTACAGCGCCAAAAACAAAATAGTAACAGAGACCCACGACAGCCGGCGGTGCAAGATGGGCGCCCGACTCGGACATTTCACGGGTCGAAACGCGCTATCTTTGGCACTCGCACTCGGACTCGGAAGACCCCACGGTGAGGGCGTCAACAGCCCCGGGCTAGTCGCTGCATCGGAGCTCTCCTGCGACGTGCGCTTCCTCACCCTCGGCATTATCTCGACATGGCTGATTCCCAGCCCCGTCTCTCTGGGCTCGGGTTCCAGCACACCGGAGTCGTCATGCACTGGGTGATACGCTGTATCCTCCGTCTGCCGGCTGGAACCGAGTGGATCCCACGACTGTTGAGGGGAGAGAAGGGCAGGATCCGAGAACTGATTCGATTCGGTCGGCCGTAAGAGCCGGTGTTGCGACTCGGAGGCCATGGGGACAGAACCGACTGGGTTTGTGTGAAGGTTCAGGCGTTAAAAAAAAAAAAGTTCCCTTAATTCTAACCTTAAAGTAGCCATGTGGAGGCCCGAAATTTAGGGTCCTTGGCGGTTGGCCTGGCAGGAAATTTATTGGTGGGACGTGTTGATCAGTGGGCTCACCGCATTTCTATTCAGGGTGTACGGAGTATCCGTAGTTGTATGCAGTACATAGGTGTATAGTGTAAAAGTCAGTATAGTATGATTAAAATACACAACGCAGTGGCAATCCGACTCCTCTTGCGCATCCACCCCCGTACGATCTCAACAACAGCGGCACCACACAGAATAACGTCACCACCGACACGGCCTGATTCGCCCCAAGTCTCAAACATCGCCGGTGTAAAGAGCGGTACAGCGATTCACAGCCGACACGCTGGCCGCGTAAATGCAGTAGTTATCCGCCAGGTACTCGGTCAAGCCGGTGGTGATTCACAGTTGACGCAGACCAGGCCGAGCATGAAGCCGCTGAGTTTGGTTTCGGGTGAATCCGAACAAGGAGTCGACGGGTTCATGGCTTTGAGGAAGATGTAGATGAGGGCATAGAGAGCGGAGGTCATAAGCGAGACGAGGGAGGTAGTGGGTTCGGCGAAGAGGAGCTGGACGGGTCGGAGCAGAGAGACGATGATGAGGTCGAAAGGTTAGAGATGTGATCGGGTTATGACTCCAGTCTCTGAAAGCTACTGCACGTCTGTCTGGAGAAGCAAGAGGACCGCTACTCGCTCATGCTAAAAAGTATCATGGTCAGCAGGGAGGAAAGAGCCTGGAAAGATGAGGAGTGGGGACTGGAAGCACTGGAGGAGGCAAATAGAACAGAAGAAGGGTAGCAAAGAGGGTAGCTTGAACTGAGACACAGCCTAAGCGACACCCACCCTGCTCTGAAATCACAATGAAAGCACTCTGCTCAAAAGCCCTGCGCGTACAGGCGGTTTGGGGCGAGGAAAAGGACTAGAAAGATAATAGAAGGGGTTACCTCAGGAACTCATAGGGACAAGAGACCGACAGCCATCTGCCGGCCTCGAGTTCATTGAAGATGGTCTGCCATAGCTTTAGGGCTCGATATGGACAATAAACATATTTAAATAATAACAATAATGTAGCATAAGTGATACCAGTGTGATTGTGAAATGTGCTTCTAGTATGTTCATTGTGTATTAATGACCCGTCCGGAGCTAACATTGTATCAAACTAGGCGCAAAGCACTTCCCATGATCCGTCAGACTCTGAGCATTCTAATCATGTCTCTGGGGATTTTAATGCCATCTATGTCATATTCAGAGTATTCATCCTATCGCAGGATTCGGTAGGAATAATAATGTATGTGGATCCTGATGCCACGAGGCAAAGGGAGGAGTTATCATTTACTGCAGAGACTTGGTCAATTGTGCCGGGACTTTGTTTTGGCAACTCTGAAAGTTAGCGGCTGTCATTTGTTTGGTAAACAAGACAGCTCTGCGATTTCCCCAGCTGTTTGGCTATTTTCATACCTTCAGTTTTATATTATTTGTCTGGTCTTAAACATAATCTACAGCTCATAGATCCTGGTGTACAATCCAATCAGCGTAGTTATGCTTGCCGTTTACATTAATATAACTCGCAAAGACTGCATCATACTCGCTACGCCTGTAAAAATAAACACCAACTCCACTCGCTACGCTCGCTCAAAGAAATGCATATATGCTCGCATCACTCGCAAAAACAAAAACATACAACAGCCGGGATTCGCTGGTGGTCACCCACCCAACTACTAACCGGCCGGCGTGTGGCTTAAGTACGGCTGAGCGGACGGGAAGCCCTGTTCTCCACACCCTATGGTCGTATGTACTTGTTTTTTAGTTAAATATGTATATCAAGTACACTTGGAGTGAGTTAGTGACCAGAGGTGAGCCTGGGTGCGCTATAGAGGGTGAGCTATCACCCACCATCGCCCAGCACCGCGTAATTTCAATCCTTTGAAATCCTTCCAATCTAATGGCATGCTACAATGACTGATAATTGGCTATCCTTTTTCAAGTTCATAACACTGAGTAATCTTGGCATCTGCACATAGCCAGAAACAAATCTTCCTTTAACAAGCGATTCAGCATAAGGACAATGAACTTTTTTTTCCCTATTCTGCCATGCTGCCAGCCCGGCTAAGCTAACTACGGTTTATGACTACCGGGCAGAAAGCGAGGGCGGTGAGAAACGTGGCCTGCTGAGTACCAACACTGCCAAAGCGGGTAGCTCAGGATCGGGAATCGGAGAAGTCGATTATCTGTGACTAACGAGGTCGTATGTAGAGATATCGAGTTAGAAAAGAGGTGATATATTCTCGTCTACATGCATGTTTACAAGTGCTTGAGTCTTGTCTATCTACATGTGCGCACACGTTAACCCTATATCGGACAATTCTCAAGTTCGCCTATATCGGTCCGACTACTTTCCGTTCATCGGTGGAACGGGGAAGCTTCGGGGTAGCGGTGCCGATTCTCCGGATAGCCGTACGAGACCAATATGACACCCTAAAGCTATAGCAATAATCTCACGCAGTAGAATATATACGTGGTATTGAATTTATCGTCGAGTACCTACTAAACTCACTAAGAGGTTTTATCGCACGGCGATGAAACCTCTTCGGCGTTCGCTAGATCGGTCCGATGTTCATCCGATGTTCATCATGAAACGGATAAACCAATAAGGCGGTTAACTCCGAGTCGGGGAAGTCGGGGAGTCGATTATCCGGACTGCACGAGGCTATATATGAAGAAGAAACTTAGATTACACGGAGGGTGACAATGATATCTATAGACACCGTAGATGGTAGAATGAGTGCTTGGCTATCTAAACGAGTGTGTGTGTCCGTATATGAGGGATCTGTCGGCCTCGGTAATCGGACAAACTATTGATCCACCTCGACTTTCATCACATCAGTCGGATTGGACGAGAGTCGATGAATCGATAGTCGGCCCGGTTATTGGGAACGGCCTGATTACCGAAACGGAAGATTCCTTATATATAGGGACACCGTAGCCACACGCTTTAGATGGCAAGCACTCTACGGTACTTCAATACCAAATGTATGTTCTACCGTGCCAAACTATTGCTGTAGTTCCAGTTTGTCATATTGGCCTCGTACGGCTCCCGAAGCGGGACATTACGACGGGCAGATCGGAACTGCCTGTCATCTAGCTAAACTACCATCTATCATCTAAATACAGGTAGCCCCCCGCGCGGGGCCTGCTCGGGTTTTCATGGCCGTCGGACAGTAAATTGGGCTTTGGGTTTGAATGGGAAAGCAAGAAGAGGAAGAGGGTAAGGAGAGGACAGACAAAGAGAAAATAGGGAGAAATGAGGAAGGGGGAACCAGGGGTAAGCCTGATGGTCCCTAGATTTGATGAGGCTGACAGTTTAATAGCGTCGGTAGATGGCTGTATAGAACTGGGATCTTCAGCCAAGCTGAGAAGGTGGTGGCACCAGCCTTTGTGCTGAGGATCTCTGCCACAGACTGGCGCCCCATGGGTGTGCTGCTGCTTTGCGGCCTGCACAGCAGTAGTAGAAATGGGAGGGCTCCTTTCTGCAGCTGCATGCGCATGTCAGTAGGACTTCATTGTGTTCAAAGCACTCATGATATTCTGTGAAGTCGCCGTGGCCGCTCCTGGCAGCCAGGAGGCAGTGGTGTGTTTTTGAATGACCTGTTACAACCAACGCCTAGACACGTGCATTTATCCGCTAGGCTATGAAGACCTCTTATAATGAGTATCTGCTCATCATAGCCCGAGAGCAGTATATATGGTAGCGCACTATGCTAGGGGGCGCTGCACCGCGCCTAACATGACCATGATAGTGAATCCACCGCCATCAAACTCACCATCTACCTCGACAATGACGAACTATCAGCCAACGCAGATCAATTACAAAAGGATCCCTTGAGAGTTGCTCGTGGATCGAGAACAAATGAAGTGTAGTCAGAAGCGTCTTAGCGATCAATATTCCAGGATAGGGCTACTTAAATGAGTATTGATAGCAAGCTTAAGTTTGGATCAACGTGTAAACAAAATTTGTGATTCAAGATATATGTCAAAATATGCAAACCCCAATGCAATAGAAAACAACAAAACAAGCAATAAACGCCAAATGCATGTTCTACAAAAAGGTATCATAATAAAATGTAGCCCACGACTGTAGGCTGTCTGGATGTCGGCTTAGTCACAAGAGCAGCAGCTCAGGCAATCAGATCAGGAATCGATCACTTCCCTTCATATTTGAAAGTGCCTGATGCGTGGTCATAAACAGGCCACTTTACCAGTCAAGAGCGGAAGAGGGTTCTTGGCCAGTCCGGAGACTTTATTTTTGAAAAGCATTACCAAGCGGAATTTATCCAACGAGATCTTCAACATGTGGTCCTCCTTCGGCCCACTCAGGAGGGTCTTCTTCAGAGAGCAGCGGGCATGCTTAGGAACAGAGATCCACTGGCCCCTTCAAACATTACTGATGAGCAGCTACGGGCTATTCATCGACATCCTGGAATTCTGGAACCCAGGCGAGAGAAACGGGAGTTAAAGGAAGAAATGCGATCCCTGGCTGGCACCATTCAGAACGCTCGAAATCATTTCCCTGACCTCTATCAGAGGAATGACGAAATCAGCAGGAAGCTCACCAAGTTAAGGAATGCCCTACGAGATAATACTCGGCAGACTGCCAGAAAAGATTATTTCCATACGGCACCCGTACTAGAAATCGACAGACAAATCCAGCAACTCTTGGGTAAATTTGGCGCAGAAAATTGTGATGCTGACAGTACCAAGGATGGCGATGAAGATTGGCAGCCTCCCATCCCGGATTACGTTTTTCCTGAAAGAGCTCGTCCAGTGGAGTCATTCTACGGTCTGGAGGGGGAGTGTTTTGACGAGGATAGACTACTTGCAAAACGTATCCAAGTTACTGAGGACTTGGTCGCACTCTCGCACCTCTGTGAACCAAATCGTCGAGGCAAACGAGCCAACTAGGATGGGGACGATGAGCAGAGCGAGACATCTCAGGGAAAAGAAGCCTTCCTGTCAGAAGAGAAGTCCCTGGAGAGCCCCACGGATGTATGTATTATCTGTTGCGGTATATCCCGCCGCTTACCTTCTAATCCCCATCCACACAATTTTCCATCAAAAAGGAAGGATTCTCTCCGTCGTCATCTGATCGGTCACCTTATGAACGCACACGACGGAGTACGCTGCACCTGGGAAACTTGCAGCAAACTCCCTACTTTCATCGATATTGCTGAATTTTTAGCACATGCCGCCAATATTCATCACTATGACCTCCATATCAAGCTGGAACGTATTCCCAAGAGACGAAAGCCGTCTCGGGATGAAACACCGTCTTTCAGCAGCTCCAGCATGTCGTTAAGGTCGAGCCGATCGGCCACTGAGACTCCCGCTTCCTCCGGTGATATTGAAATAGGGAAGATTCACCCACGTTTACTTGCAGCCTCGAATACCAAATACAATGAGACCTGCCGTCAGTCCCAACGATTGAACCCTCATTGATAGTACAACGCAATTTTGTTTATAGTTTGTAGGTAGATTTCGAAGCTTCTCATGTGCCGAAGGCTGGTCCTTAATACAACATTTACCTTTTTATATAAGATCATTTCACTTAAAAGCAAATGATGCTCAAGCACTAAAAACAATGCATTACCAACATAAACCACTTCTAACGCTAAATATACTAATATAATACCTTAAAACACCCAAGGCAACTGGCGGGAAATCTAAATTTGCCAGTCAACTAACATCATTTTTAGTGTGTTCATGAGCTCTTGGGATATGAACATAAATGGGAGCCATCGCGTCAGGTTACTGAGTCAGTATTCTGTACGCTCCAGAAATAGGGGGGTTAGCATACATATGTCGATGATATTTCATGTATCAGTTAAACGTAAACTCCAAAAGATCTGGAGCAAACAGGTAGGCTGCAGGTGAAGCTAATCATCCATATAAGCGCCCACCCAGACCTTTCAGTTTTTTTAGCCTTTCCGGACTCCATCAGCCAAATATTGATACCTGATTGGGAATTGCCAACGAGGGGCCATCTTGGCATATTAGAGACAGCATCATGTGAAACAGCTCATCGAGAAGTATATTTTCTAGAACAGTCGTCTCATACCCAGTACGATCATAATACATGGGTATAGGTTCCTAAAGCTGATGTGTGGGTCTGCGACACTGAAGAGCTCCGCTACCAAATGGTGTCGCAACTGGATGGTGAAAAAACATCATGAGGGATTCTTGGGAATGATGCTAAGCTCTCCCATAAAGTCGCCCGTTTCCTGGGTAGACATTTATAACCAAGACTATACCATAAGGTCACTCCATCTTAACCCGGCACAAGACAGCCTGCTGTACTGAAAGAGCGTTTCCATGCCACGTGAGAGATGGCAAGCAGGAACTGGCCTATGCTTAAATAGTTCATTATGGCCTCAAGTTTACTTAACAGGAAATATGTATAACCGTGGTGTGTGGTTGGCAGCAGATGAAACAAAGAGAACATAGAACTAGACCTGGACATGGGTACCCATTTGGGTACAGGTCTCGTACCCATACCCAAGTTCCATTTACCCATACCCAAGGGTATGTTTATACCCAAGTCTGCACAATTTTCCCGCATAAAAATCCTTAGTCACTAGCATGTATTTTTCTCGGTTCCTATCCCGTCACAACGTCAATGATTATCATACAATCTAATAATCTATCTCTTTCATACCTACCATCTATAATATAACAAGAAGAGACCTATTATATGAAAGCCTACAGCGTAAATTAGGTGGATATTGATTTCAAAGCATTTCCGATCAGTGGAAGTCAGTTGATTTAGAATGTGGTCTTTTCATTGCATACTCAGGTGGAATATATATTTTCTACACTATGGATAGCACCACCATACTTCTGCTTAAAGCTCATTATAAACTTGATTTATCTTGAGAAAAATGAGAAAATTCTGTCAGTGTCGAGGATCATAGTAGTAATTATATAATTTGTGGATAACCTGCTGAATACAAATTTTACATGTTATATCTTATACAAAACTAGTATATACAGCGCCCGAACAGGTTGAATATTGTTTTTAAATACCCAGGAATTGGGCTCGCTCCCCCGGGGGCCCCAGGATATTAGGAAACTCGGGTAGTTGGGTATACCCTTGGGTATACCCAACTACCCGGCTCTATTAAGCCAATAATATATTTCCACGAGCGAGCCCACTGATATCTAATTGGATATCTAGTATGCAGCTCCATAGGAAAAAGCAACTATTTTGCCCAAGTACACCTCAGCAACACTTCTGCAGAGAAGGCCTTTGATATATTCTACTGTAGTAAAAGCCTTCTACCTGGTAATCTATCCTATACCCTTTTAACCTGGTGTTTTTATCTAATGTCTCAGCAATCAGATCCCTTTCTTTCCTCCCAACTTGGGAGTGAGGATAACCCTCTATTCACACCAACAACACCCTCTGAAAGCCAGACTTGCAGTAATCTAGAGCTTCACCTAGCTCCTCCAGTCCCATCATCACTCCGACGCTCAACCGATCGCAAGAAAGCATGGGTTATCTTTGATGAGATGGATAAGAAAGCATTTCTTGATTGGTGGTTTAAAACGCAGTTTGGGTCAACTGAGGATATACAACGACAGATTAAATGGGATGGAAAGAAGCTAAACACAGAGCTTTGGTCTGATTTTAGCCATGTGGCCCATTACCAGACAGGTGAGCCCAAGGTTATGTGTAATTCCTGTGGGAATACCCTGAATCATCCAAACTATCAATCAACAGGCACGAGCACCATCAAAAAGCACCAAGCTTCATGCAAAAAGGCACAGCTTCATGGAAAGCGGCCAAATATTCAGCAGCTACTACAGAATGCAGTATTTCTTCTATCTATCCTGTATTAAAGATATATAGTTACTGATCCATCCTACTTTATAGGCCTGTCGCCCATCCTCTGGACCCTTTTCTCATGATCGATGGCTCCAGCAGCTAGTGACTACAATTACCACCCTA